CTCTCTCTCTCTCTCTCTCTCTCTCTCTCTCTCTCTCTCTCTCTCTCTCTCTCTCTCTACCGTTTAAAACTCTCTTTTACCTTTCTAAACCAAAGTAAGAGTCGGTAAGTTCCCATGTTTGGAAAGATATGGCATTTTATGGTTGGGCTGGAACCAGTACAAAATCAGACAAGGAATGTATCGGCTAGTCGGCTTTATGACGATTAAACAGTTCAATCTCTGATCTGACTAACAAGTATATTTCATACTTATTAATTTGATTAATATTTTCTTCATTTAGGTTATTATCACTAGTAAATTTCGGTTTATTTTGCCGGACAGTGTTCGCAAGTTGGGCTACTAAAATTCAAAATAAGAATTAGTTTTCAACACAGCCCTTTTTTTTTTCTTTTTTTTTGGACGGAGCAGTTGCAGCTCCAAAGCTCGAGAGGGATAACCCAAAGTTGTTTCATGCGGATGGCACTCTTGTTTTTTTTTTTTTTTTGGCATATGTCATGATTGTATCATCATTAATATTAACCCATGTTTAGTTTTGATATCTGCATTTTACATTTTTTTTTTTTTTGTTTATTCCGTTTACAAAGATGTTGAGATTCTTTTGAGAGCACAGTAGAATTTGGTGTTTAACGTCGCATTGATTTCTTCAAATGGAGCTCTCCTCCTTCAGTACGCTCCAAGCATCGAAGGTAGCTGGTCAATTTAGATCGGAGACAATAAAGTCGGAAATAACCAGTGTGGACTGCAGCACTATGGCCAACTTCTCTATCAAAGTGGAAAGACATTAAAATCGCAAATATTTATATATTTAAAGAAGTAGCAATAGCCTAAAGATAGATAAATCACCAAATATTTGGTGATACATCATTGAAACCTAATCTGATAATATCACACGGCTTCTATATAACTAACCAAGAAATACACTGACACAAACGCAAAACGTATATTCCACATAGAAGGTGAAAAAACACACACGCACTCCTCAATCGCTGCTGTGGCAACTGCAAATAACTCTTTCTAGAGCTTTGGTAAGACTACGCAACAAGTCATTCATTCCAGACATCGCTGAAAAGAAGGCACGAAACAGAGATCATCCATTGTGGTATGTCTTGGAGAGTACTTTCCTCCCAAATGAACTAGCACGGAGTTCAGCGATATGGGGCCTTATAGCCTCGAGAAAAGCAATTATAAGTTCCCCCTGCTCAATAAGAATTTACCAGTGTCAGTATTAGAATGCGGAAGTAAGGTGAAGCATCTGTTATAATCAAGTTTGATTATTTTAACAACCTTGCATGCTCTACGAGCTGTCTGAACGACATAATTCCCAAATGGATCCTGTGAGATCTGGACAAAACAAGGATCATTGATCAACTCCCGAATGATATTGTCACACTGGTCGTCTCGCACAAGTTTGAGGCACTTCTCCACCACATTGCTACTGTATCTTTGTACGGACAAGGTTCCGTAATGACCCTCCAGCTGATCTAGTATTCTGGATGTTGCCCATGGAATCTGTTGATCGAGAATCAATTGCACCACATAATTCCTACAAAAAGCAAAACGAGTAGAATAATGGCTCAAGTTATAGAATAGGATACATACATATGAAGGTTTGAGACTTGAAGTGATGTGACCAAGAGCAATTTTGGATGAAACATGAAAAGTAATTTAAAAGCTTTTGTAAACGACTCTGCGTAAATCACAACATAGTCAAGTATTAAAAGCATAGAAAGACAAGAAAAAGAGGCATACCCGGAAGGATCTTGGGAGAGGGCATGAGCTTTAGATGTAACCTTGAACAGTAAATCATTTTTCTGCTCCCCTTCTAAATCAGAGAGGCATTTTTGAATCACACAACAACCCTGGCGATCTCTTGCTAGCTCAATACAGTTAGCAACTGCAACGTCGAAAAGAAACTACAAGGAAGAAGGTTCAAAGTCAATACATGCTAACAGTTTGATTGACATATCTTTAGCCTAATAGCATTATGAACATTAGAGCAAAGCATACTACACGTCATTTAGAAATTCTACAACTATTTCACCCATCTTCTAAATATCACTGGGTTCTGAATCATGCTTCCAAAATTCAACAAAGGTGGAATTACTGTTAGAGAGTCACATCTACTGTAACAAGATGAGGCATTGTATAGAGATAATTGATTATAGTTCTCTAAGTATCTTGATCGATACTGTATTTGGAGAAGTTCAGCAACTGAGTTACTTGAATGCCTACTTTGACCTTTATTTTTGGCACCACTTTGATGTGCAATTATCTGCATAGAGACTACACGGTTTTAGTAGATCTCAGATCCAGTCATACTTTGGGACAATCACAGACAATTCATGAAATCAAGAGATACATTTAATAAACAAGTAGAGAAATGGACTTCAAATATAGAGCAAACAGAAGGAACACGAAAAGAGCATCTTTGTCCACTCTTAACCTTTATCTATCAAAAAAATTTGACAGAGAACCTATTTTTTGTGACAGTTGAATCACTTGATCATACAGGGAATCCATGAAATCCTTACTTGATTAAGACATGGACTATATTTCAGCACTAGGCTTAACATGACTGAATTTAATAGAAAGTTAACCCAAACTCGAACATGGCTAAATCAAAGTTGCACTTTGCCCTTGTCCTAAAAAATGAGAAGAAATGAGCGTGTAGTTTAGTGGTTGGAGTGGTATGGCATGAAAGCATGCTAAAATGGCACAGAATAGAAGCAAGTGCCAACCATTCCAGGTTGTAACGTGCCAATATTAGTCACATATGATTGACATGCATGGGGCTACATATGGATATAACAAAGATTATATACTTCACATGAGCTTGTGTGTATGTACATGAATGTGTGGTGTTACTGGTGCTCAATCCAATGTTTAGTGTTAGTGGTGTTCAATCCAATGACTGCTATCCATCAATAAAACCCTCTGCAGCTGTGTGCCTGAATCTGCTATTTATATTTTTTTATTAGACCTACAGAAATACTACACTATTCCAACATTTAAATAGTTAAAATTTCATCAGTGATGGGCGAGGTTCTCTTAGCTAAAACATAAAAGCATTTCATAAGTGTAGGTTCCATATTTCAACTTTGTTAGAGTCCCAAAAAATTGCCCACTGTTCTTACAAGCCTTAACACCTATAATATTGGTTGAGTCTGTAGGTAATTAGAATGTGAATTCCAATGCTACCTCTTAAAATTTTAAACTAAAATGTACAAGTTGATCGTACAAAAATATTAGAAAAGACTCATATGCCTAACAGTATTCAGACTTCTTAGGGTTTTAGCAGTTTTCCTCCACCTGAGAATCACACAAATCTAGCAGAAAATGGGAACTGAAAAGTTCTGATGTTCCTGAGCATCCAAATGCTAAAGTGAACCAAAAAACTGAGGCACTCAAGAAGGTGATGATGCAGCAAAAATTGATGATGCAGCTACATGGATACCCGATAATTCAAAAGTTCAGTACTGAGAAGGCTTGGGAGTCTGTCAGCAGTACAGATGATGCCAGTCAAATGACATAAGGTTGTATGGTTTGGTGGTGTGACTTTAAGCCATTGATTCATCCTTTGGTTTGCAATCGAAGGAATACATTTGACACAACCAAGGCTGAGGAAATCGGGAATGCTCACATTAGCATCTATCTTTTAGGGTGTAAATTCAAGGACTCATCAGAATTAATGCTCTTTGCTCATACCAAGGGGAAATATCCGCAGACAACTGACAAACTAAAATTAATCATCGCAAGACATCTGATTAATTATGGCAAAGAAAGAAGCCTGATTACCTAAAGAAAAAATCTTTATGCTGTAACTGTCTATTGCCTTCGGCTAAAAGGGGAAGGGCAGAATTTTCAAGAAACGGGCCAAGACTTATGATCATTTGGTTGGCACAAATTAGATTCTCTGGGCAATTTGTAGATGATGTATAGTATGAAATGGTTCTATTTTCATGTGCTTTTTTTCTCCGAGGGAGTTACACTGTTTGTTGAGAATTTATACTTTGGCAAAATTGTGACTTTTGGTAATAAAACTCACACCCTGTTTCAAAAAAAGGTTTCAACTATTTGCACAACTATTCGTTATATCAAATGCCCCATCAAAATTAATCAGACCACAACCTTAATTTGTGGTCTACACTCATAAAAAGCAGAATCTGATTAATATTGTCAAGGCCTGCATCGCACATCATGGAGAATGTAAAAGGAATTCATCATTGTATTTTGTAACTTTTCAAAACATTTAACTATCAATTTTGGCATGTCTAACATAACAAAGATGTTATTTACTTTGTAACCTAGAAACAATTTTAAAAAATAAATACTAAAAGAAAAGGAACAAATGTAATATACAAATACTTACCTCTTTCGATTCAGGTGGAAGGTATCGCAAACAGTATTGTGCAACTTGACTACCATTGATGTTCTTCATCAATGACAGTATACCAGGTTTTAGAGCTTCGGCGATATTAAAATAAAGCTCCGGACTTTTAACAGTTTTGATAATCTTTTGTACAACAGAAGTTCTGAAGTTGGCAATACCAAGAAACAGAAATGAAAAAGAAACTATTAAAGCATGACCAAGTTTAACAGATTAAAATTACAAAAAAAGGCACATACCCATGCTGGTCACAGCAGATTCTAGGAAGTTGGTCGGTGCGCTCTGAAATTTTATCAGTTATGTGTGTTAATTGCTGTTCTGTACAAACTTCAACCAGCTTCTTGATAAGATGATGCGCAATGGGATGAATCATAAGCTCAGCAACATGACTAATGATCTCAACAAATATCTTATCAACATTTCCACGCTCTCGTTTATCGAGTGTCTTCAGCAAGAAGCAGTGACCACACAAATCCTTAGCTAACATATGTATTCGTCCACTGAGATTGTCAAGTGAATCGTATTGCAGATGTGATGATTCTGGATCATGTCTCTGATCAGAACCATCAGAAGAGGAACTCAGACTTCTCTGAATACCCAAATTTAATGATCCATCACGCCGCCCGTTATAACTGTTGGCACCATCATCAGGGAACATTCGGCTAGTGTTGTCAGCATGTTTTGGCAATTGATGGCTACCAATAGAAGTTCGTAGTGGGTTCACTCCATGAGATGTTAATTTACAAAAGAAGTCTGGAACTTGGTCTCCATGGGAACTTACAGTTGAACCAGAGTGAGATGATAGCTTCAATCTTTGTGGAACTACAGAGCTATTGGAAAAACTAGGATATCCATTACGATGGTACCTTCCATGGTTTCTGCTTGGCAAAATATCATACAACTGATTACATCTACTGTTAGCCACGTCGTCACTCTCATAAGAATTAGGATATGCTAGTCCAGCTTGATGGGGAATGGGCATGTGAAAATATGGCTGTGTTGAACATCCAGACAAATGCCCAGTTGCTGAGTTTCTTCCTCTTTGAACGTGCCCTTCCAAATGTTGATTTTCAAGCTGTTGAAAGTAAAGATACTGAGAATTATTTATATAATTTCTTTCATCCTCGAAGTCACACCATCCCACATTTGGTTGATTTTGCTGGCAATAAGAAGCATAAGCATGTGATGGTGCATCCACATAGTCCTGATTCAGGAATGTAGTCGGAAGCTGAAACCCCTGTGCCAAAACACCAGGCGATGAAAAAGTCTGCTTTCCTGGATTTACAGGCATATCAGAAGGGTAACCTGTGTAGCTTTGCCACTGCTCATTGTGACAAGCTAATACACTGTTTGGCGTTTGGTATCTTGGGGCACAAAAATTGAGCTTACAAGAGCTTGCATCACAATGTCCGTCTAATGTTCTGTTGCACATACTGGAGTCATCCCTAGTGATGAAAGAGGAATACCCTTTTGCTTCCAGATTTGGCAGATCAACTCCATTTGGCATGGTGGGCATACGGATTGGCATCTCTGAGGACTCAGGCATAGAGGAAGACTTGTTTAGGTGTTCTGAATTATGCAAGACTGCATATCTAAATGAAGCTGGATTGTGCTCAAAACTTGGAATAGTCAAATCAAATTCAATCCTTTTCTTGAAGCTCATTGCCTTGAATGCTGAAGCCAAGGATCGGTCATCTGGCGAGTTCAATGCATCTTGACCGGCAGTCATGGTCGATGCTCTACGGTGGTTACCAGAATTGGCCTCCTGAACCAATGGACATTTCACATCTTGAGTGTTTGATGGGTCAGACAAGTTACTGGAAGTAGAGTTCTTGGCCTCATCTGAAAGAATTGGGTCAAGGCTTGGGGAGGCACCACCACCACTTCGGAAGGGTTCTCCAGCATAAGGATTCCGCGTAGTAGAATTCGATATCTGTCGATTCAGCTTACGGACTACATGGTCGTCTTGATCACTTTTTCCTTTTTCCATACTGTAACAGAAAGGTCGAACAGTTCTTGCAATGCAGACCGCGAACAACTACCATAAGCATACAAAGATTCGTCATAACATGTACGAGAAAGAAATCCTACATGAAGTTTTGACAGATGCAATGCACGAGTTTGATTGATCAAGAAAACGTTGATCATCCATCAAGATCAACAGGCCCTCCATGTTGGAATCCGAGACACAACATGAAAAGGGAGCATCAAATCAAACTAAAAACTCAGTCATATCTAGAAAAAGGGCGTCAGAGGGTCGGTGCTACGATCGACCCAACCCACGCCCAATCTTCCGCACAATCAAGAATCGATCACAAAGCACGGGCACAATCGGGATCGCACTCCCCATCAAATACGCCTAAATTGGAACAACCCCTAAAACCCTGATCACCCGCAAGAGAGAGAGAGAGAGAGAGAATCCAAGAACCAACCAGACTCGCAGATCAGAACCCAATCAAGAACGACAGTCTCTTGATCAAAACGAGGAAACAGGGGGACAAGAAGCGGAGAACTCACCGTCCGGAGCGAAGCAGAAAGCAAAAGAGGGCTTCACCGGCGAGAGAAGAAGGCGACGCGTCACAAGGGCATCGCCTCTGCGGGAAGTCCGGAAGCGCGCGCGAGAGAGAGAGATAGAGAGAGAGGGCGCGGAGAAGGGGTTTGGAGGAGACAAAGATGGGATCTTTATAGTGTGAGGAGTCTCCCCTCGGCTTCGTCTACTTGATTCCGAGTAGGAGTCTGCTTCTTACGCGGGCGATGAGAAACGGGAAAGCACATCACATCGCATGCATGCGTGCATGCGTGGGTCAGTCTAATATGTAGTATAAAGAAGATAATGTCATTTATTTTTGTTGGCGGTTCTTAAAATGATAAGATTCTTTATATATATATATATATATATATATATATATATATATCAGAATTCTACGTTCCAATTGGGCCTTTTTATTTTTTCTGTTTCCCTTCCCGTGCTATGGTAAGTATTATGCTATGGTTAAGGTCATCACCTCATGTGTTATCTTGTCTTCTATCTCATGTGATCTCCTGTGATATCTTTTCATCACCGGTCTCCATGTCTACATCTGGATTGTCATGCTTCCACCCTGATTGCTATTTCCACTCCTGGGGAACACATATATCCTATGGAAGATTTATCTGGCAGAACACCGTGATTCCGTAGCAGTCTCTGCTGACCTCCCAAATCGAGTCTCCCATCTCCGACGTTCCTCGGTTGTACACTTGCAAGTTCTGATCCAGAACACCGTTCTTCCTTGTTTGGAGCTGCAGACGAGCGCTTCCTTTTTATCAGATAGTGAGTTTGCCAGCAGCTCCAAACAATATCATCAAGCCAAGAGTCCAATGGTGAGAAGACTTGGTCAAATGTGTTGTTGATGTGGATCTTCTCTGTGATGGAATTCGAAATCTAACCAAGACTTCTGTCTCTTCTGTTTCGAAAACGCGGCTATGTTTACTTCTTGCCTCTGACTTGTTCATGAAGATAAGATGATCTATAATTAGGAGATAAAGCAGCATTCATCTAGAAAGTACAACTAATCAGGATAGGATTTCTGAAGAGAGAAGATCAAATCACACTGAAGTAAATAGTTCTTCACTTCTTCTGTTACAAAGATCTTGAACTACATGGAAACAAACTTTTCATTCTGATATGATAGCAGAAGCAGTTCTGGTAAAGGTCAACTTGTAAGCTTGGTGGAGAGACAACTTGTGATGTTTGGCTTTGGTGAAGTGAAAACCTAGTTAAGACTGACCAGCTTCAAACTTGTGCATGGTTAAGAAGCTCAAACCCAAAATTTTACCTTCTTGTTGCGAAAATTCTACTCAACATGCTTTGCCGTTGGCAGATACTATTCGATTAATATTCAAACCATAATTTACTGCTTTTCCACTGGATTGTGGTAAACAATTCAAACTTAATGATGGTTGGACAGAAGAAAATTGACATTTTTCTGAGACATTGGTCAAGAATTCATCTCTGAAATTAATGTCTTTGTCCGCCGCTACTACTACTCTCAATATTGGCACCATCAGAGACCAGTGTAAACTCTGGTTCGATACTTTCATCTCATAGAGCTGCTAGTTGAATCATCTATGCCACTATGCCTGGGACATCCACAGCTATCTGAAGAGGTTCTAAGTAGCAGACAATGTCTCTCATAAGAGGCCTCGCCTTTGGATTGCGGTTGAGGCAGTAGTAAGCTAGCATGGCTATCTTTTGAACGGCTTTATCTGGACAATTTCCACTCAACCTGGGGTCTACGATCCCCAACACTTTCTTCTTGTGTGTAAGCAATGGTGCAGCCCAGTCAGCAAGCATCTGCTCTCGCACTGGACGAGACTTGTCCAGTGATTTCCTTCCGGTGAGGAGCTCAAGGAGGACCATACCGAAGCTGTAAACATCACTCATGGTGGTCAAATGCCCTGAATGGATTCAGAATTCAACAGGTTAGACATCACCCATCAGAGAACCAAAGGAATCAGTATATCTGCAGTAATAGGTTTCAAAAGGTTAAACCCAGAAACAGAGACATCATATTCATCAAAGACGAATGGAATTCATTCCCCATGTTATTTAAAATGTAAAAGGATAACAAGAAGATCAGATAGCGAAGAGAAAATACATGGCATCAGTGGTTCTAGCTTCATATCACCTGTCATGATATACTCTGGTGCTGCGTATCCGTAAGTTCCCATTATTCGGGTAGTAACATGAGACTTATCACCTACTGGTCCATCTTTTGCAAGTCCAAAATCAGACAGTTTTGCATGATACTCCTAAAAATGGCAAACACAGAGCAACTTATCATAAGCATCAAAGTGAAGAATATGCTGAAGAAAGGTAATTTAGATTAACAAAATGCCGAGCAGCCCTTTGTTTTTTAAATCTTGTATCTGTATCCAAAAGGACAAATCCTTCTCTTACTGTTTAGTAGAAAAATATCCATAACACTATTTCTTGACAAGTTACATGATTGTATGAGGGCCTAAGAAAAATGTTACATGCATTCAGAACAAAAGTGAGAAGATGGCCGGGCAATGGGCCCTATGTGCATCCCTCTCTGAAATTTTAAATGCAGGAAAAATACAAGAAACATTAGACGAACACACTGATTACATTGTTTTTACTTTTACAGAAACATTAGAGGAATACACTGTTTATGCATCTAAAATTCTGTGTCAAGAAATTCCCTGCCTCAACATGCAGATAGGGGAGTCACATGATTCATCATTTGACCTGTATGTTGCAATATTGTTTCTTTGAGAAAATATGTTGCTACTGTTAGGACCGAAATCGACACTAAGAGGGGGGTGAATTAGTGCTTTTAAGAAAACGACGTCGATTAGGAAAACTTTAATGATTTGGAAAAGCTTGATTCGATGAAACCATATCGGAAATGATATCGAAGTGTGCTTGACTTAGAGTAAACGTAATAAGCAATTAAGCAGAAAAATAATAGTAATGAAGAGCAAAAAGAAGATGCACACCAAATTTATGGTGGTTCGGTCATCGTGACCTACATCCACTCCCGATTCCTCTTCCGTCAAGACCACCGGCTTCCACTAACGATCTTCTTTCCAATGGCGAAGATCAACTATCCTTACAACTCTTTTCTTCTTTTAACAGGCTTAAGAGAGAACCTTTACACCCCCATTTTACAAGGTAAACGTCACACACCTCCTTAGATCTACTTCTAAGCTCAAGAAGGAGGGAACTCAATGTTTTGGCAGAGTTTTCTTAGTTTTTTCCTTATGAATGCTTGCTCCTTTCTTGTTGCCTAAGTGAGGTATTTATAGGCCCGAAATGGTTTCAAAAATGAAGCCAAAAATTTAAATTTTCAATTCTTCCGGGTATGGACGGTACCATCGCCTGCCAATTTGACACTTACACTGGGTGGTACCATCGCCTGACATAGTCTGGGAGATTGTGTTTGGGCAGTACCACTGGCAGACCCTGCATAGGTCACTGAATGGGCCAAACAGTAAACCCAATTCAGCCCTGATTCAAGCCCAATTGATCCCTAATCAATTTGGTATAGTTACACCCAAAACCAACTCAATTAGACCTAACTAACTCGATCTAGATACATACGATTATAAGCATAAATCTTATGTTGTCCGACATGTCATTGGTTCGTCCGACGCTTCGTCCGATCCTTCGACCCGATGCTCGAACTCATGGCACGAAGTCCTTCCGGCATGACGTCCAATCGTCTAACATGTTCTACTCCGGCCCTACGTTTGATTCTTCGTACTTTAATCGAATTGTCTTTTCTTAATCGAGGTTAGTCCTGCGTTACTCAAACGCATATTAGATCTTAATTTCATCAATTGATTTCATTATCAAAATTCGAGATTCAACAATCTCCCTCTTTTTTATGATGATAACCAATTGATGATGTAGTTTAAACTAAACTCCCCTATCAATATGTCATATTGAAATAAAGTTCGAGTTTCATAAAATGTTAAGCTTCAAATCCAAGTTGAAACGATTTTAATCATGAATCACACCATATGCAATACATCATATACATCATCATAATAAAATCATAAGTATTGCATACATAATCATAATTTTAAAACATCAAAGTGCATCATACCATGCATGATTCAAATCATCATTCCTACTACCCCTTTGTCATCAACAAAAAAGAGAAAAGTACAAGTAGCATAATTTTGAAACATGCAAGTTCTACTTTACTTTAAAACATGCAAGCCAGCAAGTTTTTTTAGATGGGCAAATTAGCAAAATTTTTGCTTCTCTTGAGATGTGCAAAATAGCACTTCTTGTTTCTCTTTTGAGATAAGCAAGCTAGCAAGTTTTGCCTTTCTTTGTGATGTGCAAATTTATAATTTTTGCTTCTCTTTAGATGTGCAAGCAAGCATGTTTTTCTCTCTTTTAAATGTGCGAGCTAATAATCTTTGCTTCTCTTTTGAGATGAGTAAGTTAGCAAGTTTTACTCCCCTTTGTCATTGTGAAAAAGAAGGGAAGAATATAATATTATAATTCTTTTCTCTTTACATTAATTTTTAAATCATGACAAAAATAAATAACAAAGATAAATTTACATCAATATTTCAATCATAAAAAATGAAAGATCAAGTCATGAATACCAAAAGACCATGTGTCATTTTTGAGAAATCTCTTATTTTGTAAATAGAAGGAATGATAGGAAACGATCTTGATTCAAAAAGAAAACTCAAGTCATAAAAATCGAGAAATCAAGATCATGATCCAAAAAATATATAAGAAAAACTTATGCATTTGGGAGATTTAACATGCCTAAGTTTAATATTCAAGCTAGCAATTTTGGTTCTCTTGATATGCTAGCAATTTTCTTTCTCCCCCTTTGTTATTATCAAAAAGAAGAAGGGAAGAACACAATGATGTAAATGTTCAAGTCATCATATGAAAAATATCAAGAAAAATCAATTTGGTGATAAGATATATAATTTATGAATATAAAAAAATTATATATAATAAAATTCATGTCATTAAAGATAATATCAAAGATCATGTGAATACCAAAAGACATGATTCATTTTGACAAATCTCCTCTTAAATAATCAAAAAGAAATCTTAGGAGATCAAATAGTAAAAGATCTTCAAAAAAAATTTAAGTAATGAATTCTGAGAAATTAAAAGAGAAACCATGATTTATTTGGATAAATATTCTCTTTAATAAAATGTAAGAATCATACGAGAATAAAAAGTAAGGGATCCTGAT